ACGTATTTCATCATTGCCCGGGGGGGTCGTTTGACAACAATTTGCCTAACACCCTTTTTAACTGCGGTGCATACCTATGTAAGAAACCAAACAAGGCCACCCAATTGGTGAATTAGATCAAGATTCGAGGAGTCATTATCAACAACCTCATTCATACTATTATCAACATTGGATACCTGCCATTCTTTATAGAACAAAGAGCCTATCTCAAACCAGCCATCAAACCAAAAGGATACGAGACCTTCCCGTATAAGCCATTTGTTATACTCATAGATAATAGGAAAATGAAAAGCCACATGCTTCCAGCGCATAGAACCATCAACCCCAGCCATGTAGGTGGCTAAATCTAAAGAAGCAAGAGCATATTTACGCTTCATGAAGTCTGCCCGAAGGGAGGAAGCCGTGATGATCCACCATGCCATTTTATAGCCATCAACCAAAGAATTAATGTACAATAATTTTAATTATGAAATAAAGCATGTACATTAAAGACAGCCTAACTATAATCAACGTGAAAATAGGGCGCGAGAGTTAAAAACAGAACTTCCAATGCTTGACTGTCGCCATACCTTAGCTCGAGCGACAAGGTTGTCCGAAAAAATTTTATTTCGTGATTTAAAGACTTTTTTCCCGACCCAATACTTTTTTAACTTACCTATAAATACTTAAACACATCTGAACGCGAAAATCAAAGTTGATCATTGAAAAAGCTTCATCAAAGAGTATTCCTACATATTCCTACTTTCAACCTTCATCTTGTGCTTTTGTTTTGCTTAGAAAAACATTAATTTCGTAATCCAAATATCAAACTATTCTTTTCATCGCATCTATCAGAGTTGATGAAGATTGAGAGAAGTTGACTGGAGTTCCAGTCATTGAAGAACGCAGTGTTCTTCGTGGATCCACATGAGATAAACAATTTTACAAAGCTAGGAGTTGCTATAGAAGAACACAATCCAGGAGAGTTTTGGAAATTACTACTGTGAGTGGTGCAGGAGCACAGAATCCAGGAAAGCTATTGAAATTGTAGTAGGGAGATCAGATAGTACGTGTCGTCATCTAGGCTGGTAAACTATAAGTTACAAATTGTTTATAGTAGATTGTTGACTGGCAAAGTGCCCAAGTTTTTTACCATGTTGGGGTTTCTCCAAGATTATGCCGTGTGCTCTTACTGCTTTCATTATTAATTATATGAACTGCGGTATTTAAACATATGTTAAA